CCACCAATTGCGTACATTTTGCCCCCTTTCGTGTTTTTTCCCTTTTCCGTTCACGAGTGGCTCTATATTGGAACACTTTCCTTTCATCTCCCAAACGAGGACCACCCCTGTACCCGATTAGAACGTTCACACCAGCAACTTAAGTGCAAAACCACAAGGGAAATATTTAATGAATGCTTCCCCTGGGTGGCCGCCATTTCGTATTACCAAACGCATGTGGTCAACAAAAGAATTGTGGTTATCTTGTCTCCCGAATGTGGGCAGCAGAATTTGGTCATCGAGTGCCTGGAACTATTCTCGGCTAGGCACTCGCACAAACCCCAGTAAAGATTGGACCGCTGCCCGTTCTATTTCCCAACCAGCTAAGCAAAAGACGTTAGGGAGGTATGAACTACCCAACAGGGGGGCATTCGCACAGAGAGAGAAAGAGAATCCCTTGCATGGTGTTCGCACAGAGATCCCCGAACAGAGACCAGCCAGGAAACTTATTTCCTTGGAAGTGTTTTGAGATAGCATCTCATGTCTGGCCGGTCCAAACATTACCTGGTGGTATTCCAGTTTCACCAAACCGATCTGCGTGATCTTTGGATATGTTAAACACTGAGATCGGGGCTGTCTGGGGATATTACGTTTGTGGGGTTCCTAGTTATGGTCGGGGCACTTTTGGGGTACTGTATGTTTTGTATGGATTTTCTTTAACTGAGAGATAATTGAATTTAATTTAATTTCTCATGCAATTATATCTAAGACACAGATGATCCTGTGTTATTGTATTGGAGACCCCACGTAGGGGTCTATGCATAAAAGCCATGTGTGGTTGAAAAAAAATCAGTTGACTCACAGAACTATGTTTCGTCTGGCTACTGGGGGAATGGATGTCTGCATGTTTTAATGGCTCCAGAGTGGCTGAGTGAAGGAATAAGCGGAGGTAACCAGTTGAGTTACCTGTGGTCCACTACAGACACATCTGCATTATGAATGTCAATTTCATCCAATCCCTGACACATTGATTGGCTGAGAGATGTGGGGCAGATTAGCCAGACCCATGGTTTATTTCAAAGAGTTATTCCATCCATCATATGTACTAAAGACAGCTGTGTGACCATTATGTAATACATGCAGAGCGGTGTAGTATTACTTATATAATACATGCAGAGCAGTGTAGATATGGCAGAAGAGATGGGGAAACACACATAATATCAGAAAGCCAATTCACGGACAGGCAGCGTTACCGCCACAGATATAATAATTATAAATGCAGAGCAGTGTATATATGGGTATATAATAATTTCAGAGCAGTGTATATATATCGTTCTATAATAAATGCAGAGCGGTGTATATATGGTTATATAATAAATGCAGAGCAGTGTAGATGTTGTGTAATAAATGCAGAGCAGTGTATATATGGATATACAATAAATGAAGAGCAGTGTATATATGGTTATGTAATAATTGCAGAGCGGTGTATATATGGTTATATAATAAATGCAGATCGGTGTATATTACATAGTTGCATAGCTAAAAAGAGACTTGCGTCCATTAAGTTCAGCCTTCCTCACATATGTTTTTGCTGTTGATGCAAAAGAAGGCAAAAAAACCCAGTCTGAAGTGCTTCCAATTTTGCAACAAACTAGGAAAAAATTCCTTCTTGATCCCAAAATAGCAAAATCTGTATATATGATTATATGATAAATGCAGAGCAGTGTATATATGGTTATGTAATAAATGCAGATCGGTGTAGATGCTGCAGTTAACACAGATGCTCACGGTGTTTATTCACTTAAGAGAGCATTGTAGAGAATTTAAAGTGAGTTTTACATTTTATGTCAAAAACCCTGAACTGGGAATTCTCCAAGTCAGCTGTGGCTTAAGGTCCGTTACTCTGGCTTTAAATGTGAAATTGACTTTGAATTCTCACATTAGTAAATACCTCGTGTCAGTAACATTGTAAAAGATTCCCATTAGCTCTAGACATCAGCTGCCACTTAGCACGTTTAATCCACTCATTATCTAAGCTCTGCTTGTGTCCCCTCCTGCATCACGCCCACAGCAGCAAATAACGAGTTTATTAATCCTTTCCGATAACCTAATTAGACAGCAGCAGACAGCTAATAATCACACAAAGCAATCAATCACTGTTTGATTAACGGTAAATGTTTTCAATGAAAACCTTTATCCCAACGTGAATGGATGTCTCCGCACTAACGTGGAGTCATTTAGCCATAATAAACTTAAACGGCTGTTATAAAGTACCATGTAAGCAAGCGGGCCCAGGTCAGCAGTTCATTAAGGTATGAGATTATAAATCCAGATTCACTTGGCGTTTTGCATACATTAGCATTGTAAAGCTATACGCCATGCCATAAACATTCTGTCATCGCGTTTCATACATGGCGGCTGATGATCACACAAAGCGTCCATTGACGGAGTTCATCCATTACAGAGTAGAATTACAGCAGACAGTTTGTTCATTATTATGTAAATATTAATCAATACTATCTGGAAGGGAGTTCTGAGAAGCTAATCAATCATTAATGTGTCTTCACCTCCAGTCATTTTCTTTGGCGCAGCGATGAGTTTATGAAAGGTCTACATGAAAAACAGCGGGGAATGGAATTCGGCCTTGAGGAGGTTGTTATACGTTAACCCTTTGGTACCGCACAGGTCCAGCTGTGTCATCACAAGGCTACAGAAACTCTTCGCCAGGAAGCTGAAGCAGATGGCAATGTCGGATTACCACTAGGAAAACGTAATTACCGAATAACTATGCCTGATTCTAGCCGTGTCCTCGGGCACTATACTGCAGTTTGTTGGCGTGATGCTGTGTACAATGCCTGGCAACTGTAACTGGCAACATTAACATACACAATACTTCCATGCACCAGGCAACGTGACCTTAGATTAATCCAAAACTGGCCCTCATGCTGCAACGTGGCCTTAGATTAATGCAAAACTGGCCCTCATGCTGCAACGTGGCCTTAGATTAATGCAAAACTGGCCCTCATGCTGCAACGTGGCCTTAGATTAATCCAAAACTGGCCCTCCAGCTGCTGGCTGACAATTCTGGGAATTAGAGTCTTTAATCAGGTGGTAGGAGGGACAGAGTAATTCATACATTGTCACCTAGATGGTAGGACATATCTCCTTCCATAACTAACCCTACAGGTCCAATAACAGAACCAGGAGAGTGTCCCGGGATTTGTGGGCTTGTTTGGTGCAATCATTGTCATTACGAAGGTAGAACACAATGTAAGCAACAGGAAAACATTGAATCTCTGTGAAACTGTTTGTTTCTTCAACACCTTCACTACCCAGCGATTTGCCAAAAATTAATTAAAAATGTGTGAAGGTATTTCAATATTTAACTTAAGGGGGTAAAAAACTGGTCATTTTGTTTGATAGAAAAAGCGTAATATTTTATCAGAGTTATGAATTTAAAGGGACACACTGTAAGCACCATGGCACTGTTAGCTTAATGAAGCAGTTTTGGTGAATAGAACATGCCCCTGCAGCCTCACTGCTCAATCCTCTGCCATTTAGGAGTTAAATCATTTGTTTATGTGTATGCAGCTCTAGCCACACCTCTCTGTTTTTTTGTTGTTTTTTTTCAAATCATTAATATCTTTGAAGTTATTCATTAACTTATATAAAAACCTGCAGGTTGACAAAGGGTGAAGCTCCAAGTCCTTGGTTGTTCTTCCTCACCACCTTACATCGATGCATCACGTCCGTCACAGCCTGTTTGTTTGGATTTGTGATGGACTGGACATCAGTTCAAGAGAAAACCGTAGTCAGGTCAAAACATCAACAAAGCTGCTCCATCCCTCCCACCGTCCACGCTAATTACCAAAACCACATATACACGAGTTTGGTTGTGAAGGGGCTTAAAATGGCGGCTTATTTGAATTATTTGTATAATGTTAACAAATAGTGAAAGCCTGTCCTGTTCTATGTAAAACTGTGGAATTTTTTTTTAAAAAACAGTGCGTTGCAGAAAGCTGAAACTGAAATTCTATGTAGTCACTTAATGTGTTAATACTGTAACTATTTAAGTGGCGCAGTGCACAGGGTTAACATGTAACCCAGCGGGCCCTAAGAGAGCTTTTAGAAGATCTGGAATTGTGTTTGTGGCCCCCTGACTAGTAGCAGTTTAGGGATTTTGCATCGCAGCATGTAATGTGTTTGCATTTCCTGAGACGCTCGGATCTGACTGTGTAATTAATGTCTTAATGTGAGAATGGCGTTTACTTGTCAGAAATAAGAGACTCCCAGCAGGATTGTGATTCTCGGTGAAAATGCCGAGATGACAAGCTGTATGATAAAATGGCTCGTTGGAACTAAACCGGAGATTCTGACAGCCCCAAATCATATAAAGGCGTGTCACCACCCAAATACCAGCATAAACGGTATTAATAGGATAGCTGCATTTTACCCATATTTTGCCATCTTCATATTCCAAGCGAACTGTAGAAGGAGCAAAACTATTCACAGCACATAGCGGGAAAATCTTCTTTGTAACTGGATGACTGAGTCCACGTGTACTGGATGATGGGTGATTGAGTCCACGTATACCGGATGTTTGGCGATTGAGTCCACGTATACTTGGTGATTGGTGATTGAGTCCACGTATACTGAATGATTGAATTCACGTATATATGGATGATTGAGTCCACGTTTACTGGATGACAGATGATTGAGTCCACGTATACTGGATGATTGAGTCCACGTATACTTGGTGATTGGTGATTGAGTCCACGTATACTGGATGATTGATGATTGAGTCCACATATACTGGATGATTGATGATTGAGTCCACGTATACTGAATGATTGAGTTCACATATATATGGATGATTGAGTCCACGTATACTGGATGACAGATGATTGATGATTGAGTCCACGTATACTGGATGACAGATGATTGAGTCCACGTATACTGGATGACAGATGATTGAGTCCACGTATACTGAATGATTGAGTCCACGTATACTTGGTGATTGGTGATTGAGTCCACGTTTACTGGATGACAGATGATTGATGATTGAGTCCACGTATACTGGATGATTGATGATTGAGTCCACGTTTACTGGATGATGGCTGATTAATTTCCTGTATACTGGATAATTGCTTATTGAGTTAATGAATACTGGGGAAAGGACAAGGAAAGTACACAGTTTTTAGCTAGATGCATTTTTATATAGGCACTGTTCCTTCAGATGTACCTTCAATACAGTTCTTGGACCTGCTGGTGGCTTCCTGTACATGCCCACATTTTAAATGACCTTGGGGTTTTACCACTCACATTTCCAGGTTGAAATATTTGTTTCCTAATTTGCCAGTATCCTATCACCTCTGCCACTTCCTGAATCAGACATGATATTCAATAAAGCTGGCATTAAAAAAAGCTTTCTCACATTCCCAAGTAAGGATGCTCATTCAAACAGCTGGGAGACAGCCAGAAATAAAACCCACTGTCTGCCAATTAAATGATATCACTCTGGCACAAACTTACAGAGGTGGGAGAATTCCAGGAGGATTGAGACTCATACTTTACTATCTTGTTTAAAATAAATGAAGAATTCATTCAAGTGTAACAGTATCTTCAGTAAATGGTTCCGAGAAATAATGTAACCGACTCTGGAATTCTTACCGGTGGATAATGGGACAATATCACTATGGAAGAGATCATTATTATACAGCAATCAGTGTATCGGAAATATTAAACCTTTAACAGGAGTACAAGATGAAATGATTGTCAGTGTATCCTGAGACTCTGATTGTGATATTCATTACTTCATAGGACTGGGGTACGGATGGGGACTGAACCATTTATGTCATCATTAGAGACCTGGACATCCTCACACTCTGAGCACCCCTAACACCTACCCTCAGTAACTCTTTAAAGGAACATTATATTCCTGTATTCCTGACTCTATTGTGTTAAAACACATATTAGGTGGCCGGTCCCTCCTTGTCCCCGTTCAAAAGTTATTAAACTTACCTTTTCTTTCAGTGCCGCGCAGGACTTCGTGTATCAATAATATAATTTCAATATGAAATTATGGGTGTGTATAAATAATACCATTATAATATGGGATTATGGGTGTGTATAAATAATACCATTATAATATGGGATTATGGGTGTGTATAAATAATACCATTATAATATGGGATTATGGGTGTGTATAAATAATACCATTATAATATGGGATTATGGGTGTGTATAAATAATACCATTATAATATGGGATTATGGGTGTGTATAAATAATACCATTATAATATGGGATTATGGGTGTGTATAAATAATACCATTATAATATGGGATTATGGGTGTGTATAAATAATACCATTATAATATGGGATTATGGGTGTGTATAAATAATACCATTATAATATGGGATTATGGGTGTGTATAAATAATATCATTATAATATGGGATTATGGGTGTGTATAAATAATACCATTATAATATGGGATTATGGGTGTGTATAAATAATACGATTATAATATGGGATTATGGGTGTGTATAAATAATACCATTATAATATGGGATTATGGGTGTGTATAAATATTATCATTATAATATGGGATTATGGGTGTGTATAAATAATATTATTATAATATGGGATTACAGGTGTGTATAAAATTAATATAATAATGGAGACCACTAGTGATGGTTTGATCCTAGAGGGACAAACCTACTGTGGAACCCAAGAAAACACCCGTGCGGACACTCCAGGGGTGTCCTGGGGCTTAACCCCTAAATTGTCAACAAAAAAAGAGAGAGGAGCTCGGAACATTGGATATACACAGCCAGTGGTTCGAGCATATACTGGAACTATAATGATGAATGTATAAAATAGATGATAATAATACTTAGAATACAAAAATGTATATACATCAAGTCCTCTTCCCAGACTACACGGTCATCCCAATGTGAAATAGTGTTGCCAACCAAATAGGCTACACCTCCCTAATACTAAACTGTGACTGCAATACACCTCAGACACCTGACTTTAATATATCTAGATTGGTCACAAGATATATTAAAGTCATTATAATATTGGATTATATGTGTGTATACATATTACCATTATAATATGGGATTACAGGTGTGTACAAATATTATCATTATAATATGGGATTACAGGTGTGTACAAATATTATCATTATAATATGGGATTATGGGTGTGTATAAATATTATCATTATACTATTGGACTAGGGCTGTGTATAAATAATATCAATATAATATGGGATCACAGGTGTGTATAAATATTATCATTATAATATGGGATTATGGGTGTGTATAAATAATATCATTATACAATGGGATTACAGGTGTGTATAAATAAATAGTTTGGTGGGCTTTTCTGTGCCTGGGAGACAAAGGGACTGTCTCTTTTCCTGCGCCTTGGCTCCCATGTACAGAGGCTCCTGGGATGAAGACCCCCCTGTCATCCTGGGTGGGAGACCCCTCGCCTGAATGGGGCTTTGCATAAAAAGTGTGTGTGGCTCAATAAAATTGTGTTGTACTCCCAGAGCTATGTCCGTCCAGTTACTGGGGGGAAATGGGTCTCTTATTATTCTAAGTGGTTCCTGAGCGGCTGAACGAAGGTGTTAGCGGAGGCAACCGGTCTTGTTACCCGGGGTCCGCTACACCCACTCCCTCATACACTCAGACCCACTCACACTCCGCACACAGCACACTCACTCTGTACAATGTACACAGTATACCCAAATACCCACTCACTTACACACAGCACATTTACTCGTACAATGTACACAGTAAACTAACCCATAGTTCGCTGTAGAAGTATTTTTTATCATGTGGTGTTCGTGTATATTCGGACAGAATCTGTGTGAGATCTGCATATTTATTAAGAGATTTATTGCACTGAATGATAACAGTATGAAATCTGTAATTAGGTTACACCCACCTACCTGCAGAGCCAATAAATCTGCCAATCATCCCGGAGATACAGAGATAAACACGAACGAGATGTATTTATGTATCTCAATGTGGCCCTCACACTGTGCACCATCAGTATACGGAGAAACCTCTATGGGCTAGTTTCCAGTGTTTTCAGAATGGCTAGAATGGTTTTTACTAACGTTAGCAGCATTAATACTGTCCTCAGCCAGAAGGACAACTACAAACTTTACATACAGTCCACCAGGAAAACAGCATATTATTTATATGTCATGACATTTAAACTGTGAAGCACATATCAAACCTTATCAAACGGCGATAAAACAAAAGCAAAACAACCTGAGTTTGAAAAATGAATACATTCTCATGTAAGTAAAGTGAACGTCATTTAAATCAACAACTCACATTACAGGAAAAAAAAAAATCTCAAACGTTACGGCAACATCTGGGACCCAAAGCTCGTTATCTAGACATGGAGCTGGCATAGTACTAAATCACAATTCACTCCACCTACAGCAGTGCTTCTAACTGTACTGCTTTTGGTGGGACAGTCCCTATTTTGAGGTTCTGTCATTGAATCCCGATTTAGTTCCCTGGTGTCCTACATCATGGAACTGTCCCTCTGCAGCATAATGAGAATGGATCGCTGTGTAGTGAGGACTAGGACCATGCAGAAAGTGTTTCTGTAACATGTTAGGGGCCGCCCAAGAAGTTGTCTGTCAGCTGGAGTGCTGACAGACAGACACAACCCCTCAGTGGGTGGACATGCTCACTTCCTGTGACCTACACATCACGGGTGTCTCCAATGACGCACGTTACATCACTGGCGCTGCCCCTTGAAAGCCCGCCCACGCTTCACGATTCCATCGTTGGAAGGAATGCTACAAAGTTATTCACTAACATGAGCATTGAAACTGAATTTGAAATTAAGGATCAACAAAGCCAAACCAGAAACAAAGCTAAACTGGAGAGTTTGTCCACCATAGCTGTTTTTTCCTTATATTTGAAATTAATTTTGAATTCATACTTTAGTAATTAACCTGCTAGTGTACCTGCTCTGGCATGAGTACATCAATCTTCAAACAAAGCATTCTGGAAAGTGATATAAAGTAACATAACTTGTTCCAATGGTAACAAGTCGTAACACCCAGCCCATATTATTTATCCATTCTCATTACAGTTGATATGGCGCTGGTTCATACATTAAACATACAGTATAAAAGTATCATACATCATGGAATGGAGTATTGTTGGTGGTCCCAGGGAGAGCAGCTGATCACACCTGATTAATGACATATTGGAACAGGGACAGCCATATTTCACATCAAAACATTGCACGTTGTAATTAGATGGGGCAACACATTGCTCATAATACACTAAGACTCAATCATGGGACAACGTGCACAGAATGTGGATAAGACTTGCTGGCACCTAGACTGGAGCAAAAATGGGTTCAAGTTGGTTCATCCCATAAAATCCCTGAATTGCTTAGCTGCGGTGTTACCTGTACAGGGGAAGGTCGATATAGAGATTTGAGTTGATTCATCCAATAAAATCCCTGAATTGCTTAGCTGCGGTGTTACCTGTACAGGGTGTGGTGTATCACCAAATTAATATATATATTACACAAGGTTCGTCTACATTAAAAGGTATTTATTAGAAGGCAACAACACAATACTATAAATATATCACAAACACACAGCCCAGACCCATGGAGCAACAACCCTTTTTAAATCTATCTATCTATATAGTAATCCCCTTCCCCACACGTTTGATCTCACCCACGGTTAGGCCTTCACATCTAGTAATGGCTCACTGCTGCAAGTTCAACATCACATCCACCAAGGAAGAAAAGGAAGCAACAGAGTGTAACATGGTTCACCAAGATAGCACATGGCATCTGCACATCTGCTCAGTAGCACAGCCAAGAAGGAACAGAGAGGAATGGAGAAAGGGGGAAGTGGTTATCTCTTTCCTGACTTGTAAAGGTATTGTATTACACAATTACCATTTCAAAGGGTAAAGCTTATCCCACTGTAAGAAAAGCAAACATGAGCTTGGTCACATGACCCCTGGTCACCATATTAGTTTGATGACAGAATGTCACCACACAGGGGAAGGTCGATTCAGAGATTTGAGTTGATTCATCCAATAAAATCCCAGAATTGCTTAGCTGCGGTGTTACCTGTACAGGGGAAGGTCGATACATTTTGAGTTGATTCATCCAATAAAATCCCCGAATTGCTTAGCTGCGGTGTTGCCTGTACAGGGGAAGGTCGATTCAGAGATTTGAGTTGGTTCATCCAATAAAATCCCAGAATTGCTTAGCTGCGGTGTTACCTGTACAGGGGAAGGTCGATACAGAGATTTGAGTTGATTCATCCAATAAAATCCCCGAATTGCTTAGCTGCAGTGTTGCCTGTACAGGGGAAGGTCGATTCAGATATTTGAGTTGGTTCATCCAATAAAATCCCAGAATTGCTTAGCTGCGGTGTTACCTGTACAGGGGAAGGTCGATTCAGAGATTTGAGCTGATTCATCCAATTAAATCCCATAATTGCTTAGCTGCAGTGTTACCTGTACAGGGGAAGGTCGATTCAGAGATTTGAGTTGGTTCATCCAATAAAATCCCAGAATTGCTTAGCTGCGGTGTTACCTGTACAGGGGAAGGTCGATTCAGAGATTTGAGTTGATTCATCCAATAAAATCCCCGAATTGCTTAGCTGCAGTGTTAACTGTACAGGGGAAGGTCGATACAGAGATTTGAGCTGATTCATCCAATAAAATCCCCAAATTGCTTAGCTGCGGTGTTACCTGTACAGAGGAAGGTAGATACAGAGATTTGAGGTGGTTCATCCAATAAAATCCCAGAATTGCTTAGCTGCGGTGTTACCTGTACAGGGGAAGGTCGATTCAGAGATTTGAGTTGATTCATCCAATAAAATCCCCAAATTGCTTAGCTGCGGTGTTACCTGTACAGGGGAAGGTCGATTCAGAGATTTGAGCTGATTCATCCAATAAAATTCCCGAATTGCTTAGCTGCGGTGTTACCTGTACAGGGGAAGGTCAATTCAGAGATTTGAGTTGATTCATCCAATAAAATCCCAGAATTGCTTAGCTGCGGTGTTACCTGTACAGGGGAAGGTCGATACAGAGATTTGAGTTGGTTCATCCAATAAAATCCCTGAATTGCTTAGCTGCGGTGTTACCCGTACAGGGGAAGGTCGATACAGAGATTTGAGTTGGTTCATCCAATAAAATCCCTGAATTGCTTAGCTGCGGTGTTACCCGTACAGAGGAAGGTAGATACAGAGATTTGAGGTGGTTCATCCAATAAAATCCCAGAATTGCTTAGCTGCGGTGTTACCTGTACAGGTGGAGGTCGATACAGAGATTTGAGCTGATTCATCCAATAAAATCCCCGAATTGCATAGCTGCAGTGTTACCTGTAAAGGGGAAGGTCGATACAGAGATTTGAGTTGGTTCATCCAATAAAATCCCTGAATTGCTTAGCTGCAGTGTTACCTGTACAGGTGGAGGTCGATACAGAGATTTGAGCTGATTCATCCAATAAAATCCCCGAATTGCATAGCTGCAGTGTTACCTGTACAGGGGAAGGTCGATACAGAGATTTGAGCTGATTCATCCAATAAAATCCCCGAATTGCATAGCTGCGGTGTTACCTGTACAGGGGAAGGTCGATACAGAGATTTGAGCTAATTCATCCAATAAAATCCCTGAATTGCTTAGCTGCGGTGTTACCTGTACAGGGGAAGGTCGATACAGAGATTTGAGTTGGTTCGTCCAATAAAATCCCCGAATTCCGTAGCTGCGGTGTTACCTGTACAGGGGAAGGTCGATACAGAGATATCAAGCTGTATTTTTTCTAATATCATTTAAAAGTCATTTTGTTTGGATAAATATAACATTTTTGCTCAAGTATACTAGCAAAAGCTAATACTAGATAAAACCTCTGTCAGGGCTTATTCACTAAAATGAGAATTCAAACGGAATTAAAAGTGAATTTTAATTTCAAGTTAAAAAACAAACCAACTGGAATAATTCAACTATGCTCCCAGTTTAACTGCTTTGTCTTTATATTTGAAACCCCCTTGAATTCTCACTTTAGAGCATAACCTGGCATGTATAAGCAGAGATATTAACTCAGTTACGTGTCTGTTAGTCCACGCATTGTACAGCGTTGCGGAATTTGTTGGCGCTTTATATATAATAAGATTAATAACTAATTAATTACAGCAACTGATCTTCATTAACATAAGTATTTGCCATTTTTGCTAACATTTTATAGAAATGTGTCAAGTGGTCTCATCTCATTAGTGCACAATGTGTATTGTGGTTGCTGTACCACTCCTTTTGGTATACCAGTATTAATAATAATGACTTTATACAGAGCTACGGCTCATGCCTCTGACACTATAGCTTAGTTATTGGAGTAGAAACAGGTTCAGAGTTTATAAACTGATTAAATTACATCATATTAAAAAAACAACATAAATCACCTTAATGACGCCAACTGACAGACAGCCTCCTCCTCTCGATCGACACGAAAAAAAGCATTTTATCGGGTGGACTGGACTTTACTAATAGCCACCCTACAAAAACTGGGTCTGGGTCCGAGTTGGATACGCTGGATGCAGGCCATATATTCCTACCCAACGGCACGACTCCAGGTAAATGGCCAACTCTCAGATCCAGTTCACAAAGGGAATGGAACGAGACAAGGCTGCCCACTATCCCCTCTCCTGTTCATCCTTACCCTAGAGCCCCTAACATTCAGGGCATTCCAGTACCGCATAAAGAATATAAAATTTCTGCTTTCACGGACGACCTCCTCTTTACTATCCGAACACCCGAAACCTCGATAGCCCCCCTAATGAAGGAACTAGCCCTATTCTACACTCTGTCGAACTTCCAAGTAACCTTCTCAAATAGCGAAATTTTACCACTAAAATTAGCACCCCGCACGCGCACACTTCTGACAGGAAAATTCACATTCTCGTAGGCAGACAAACCTATCTTATATTTAGGGGTGCGCCTCTCAGCTACCCTGACCTCCGTTTTTGACTTAAACTTCGAACCACTCTACCAAAATATTTCTAAAGATCTACAAACCTGGCAAAAAACGCAATTCTCATGGCTATGCAAACTAAATATCCTCAAAATGAACACCCTTCCGAAGTTACTATATCTGTTTCAAACTCTACCCATAGCCATACCCAAAACCTTCTTTGACAAACTTCGACGCCTTTTCACCTCATTCATCTGGGCACACAAACACCACAGAATATCCTACGAGATTCTAACTAGGCACAAGTCCTGTGGAGGCCTGGGACTTCCACATATGGAGAGATACTACAAAGCGACCGTACTCACCAGAATATACGAACGGTCCCAAAACCCACCAACACTCCAATGGGTCAAATTGGAAGCTGCTATGCTTAAAGTCCCTCCACACATAGCTCCCTGGCACAAAGCACACACATCAAAGCTTGTCATAGACCAATGACATCCAATAAAATCCCCAAATTCAGTAGCTGCAGTGTTACCTGTACAGGGGTAGGTCGATAAAGAGATTTGAGTTGGTTCGTCCAATAAAATCCCCGAATTCCGTAGCTGTGGTGTTACCTGTACAGGGGAAGGTCGATACAGAGATATCACCCCACGATACCACACACACTCAAGATGTGGGACAGACTGCGTGAAGCCACTAACATATCCCCACACCCATCACCTCTATACCCAATTACCCACAACCCGCTCTTTGAGCCAGGTCAGCAAACTATACGTTATCAGGATTACCGGCGCACTTACGACGGGTCATACCTGGCTCTGGGAGCCGTTTTAGATAGAGAAGAACTAAAACCACTACCCAACCTCACGGATGCGGAGGCTCCAACTACAATGCAAGTGTTCCACCACACCCAGTTGAGCCACTTCTTGCAAACAAACCCAGGCCTGCTAAAAGGCTCGCGACCCCTCACCAACTTCGAAATACACTGCAAAACGCAAAATATACGAATGAAACAGCTCTCGACATTATATAAAATCCTCCAAACAGACCACCTAGATTTACAGAAACTTGGTCAGAAGACCTTGACACCCAGTTCACAAAGACACAATGGAAGACCATATTCTCCCAAGTACATAGGACGACTATCTGCACGGCCATACAAGAAAGCAATTATAAACGGATCTCTAGATGGCATTTCTCCCCATCCAAACTTCATGCTCTATTCCCTAACACTCCAGACACCTGCTGGAAATGCACCCAACAACGTGCATCCCTAGCCCACATTTGGCGGCAATGCCCGCAAACCCAGAGATACTGGTCCAATATGGGTGACCATGATCAAGGTTGTATCGGGAATACAGCTCCCACTCACACCACACACCCTACTGTTTCTACTACTACCACATACTATCCCCAAGGCACAAAGACAGCTAGTAACACACGCCCTCACAGTTGTGAACCTACTCATCCCAGTCAAATGGAAAAACTTCTCCTCACCAATGATTAGGGAATGGATCACTAAAGTAGACTGTGACATTGTATTTTGACTTGTATTTTATTTGCATTCGTCTGTTTGTCTCCCGTTCGTATGAATGGCTGGTTTCCATAGCCCAGCCATTCGAATGACTCTTTTTTCCCGAACAAAACTGCCGAACGAACGGCCACCCAGGAGAGAAGTGTGCTGCTGGTTAACCTATTGATCCCAATTAGAACGTTGTGGTTAACCGCAGACACTTCTCAATTAAACCGAATTCAGGGTGGTCGTCGTTCGTATGTCGACCACGAGGCAGCGGCCATTTTAAACCAAGCGAACGCCCAGCGGTGTTTGGCTCTATTTCTGTGGAACTAAAAACGGACACTTTTTCTGCCGAACACCGCTGAAACAACGGAACGCCTGGCTGCCTCCACGAAACCATACAAACACCGGCCGTTCGGGAGTTTTTGAGCATACGAAAAGACTTAACCCAGATAGCCTTCCCATGGAGTAATTCGTATACCGGAAGACTGTAAGAACTTTGACTCCATGTCGATTGAACTATGTGTGTGGGATCTGAGCGCTATTCGCCAATAATATGCACTCAGATCCAGGCTATCTGGGGATATGTAATACGAATGGGGAAGGTTTTTGTGAAGTTATATATTTTTATGTCTTTTGTGATTTTATATTTAAAATCACAGTTAGTAATTAACTCCAGGACAGAGGGGAGGGAATCATAATGCACTGTGGGTAAAATCTGTAACTGTATGTCTGGAATGTCCCCATGTCTATCTGTAATTCCAGTCTCCCATTTGGTCCCCTAGGGGAGTGTCCACCAAGTGGGAGACCTGCATAAATACGGGCAGGTAGCCCACAGTAAAGCCAGATCCTGTTTGACCCTCAATGCGGAGCTTCTGTCTCGTTATTGGGGGGATTTCTTCTTCACGTTTAGAGACTGCTGGATGGAACGGAAGCCGCTTGGTGAATATTGCTGTTCGACGGTTACCAGCAGTTCGTGTATTGCCGTTCGGGAGTTTGGAGCCGTTCACGGATCTCGTTCGGGAGATTGCCGCTTCCCCTGCATTTGGTTCGTATATTACAGATTAAGCGAACGGAGACTGTACTGCAGCCGGGGAAGGTCTACTAAACGGCGGTTTTGCCTAAAGACACTGGAGGTGTCTTAACACCTACAGGCCTCTATCTCACACAACCTCACCTTCTTCCTTGAGGTATGGGGACCCTGGACAAAATTCCTGTCCAAACCAAACACGGATAAGTAATACCCCAACCAGACACACCACTACCAAGCCTCAACCAAATAGAGAAACGGGGCTAAAACACAGACATACTGGGCTCCTCTCTGCCCTCTCTCCTCCCTCTCCCCCTTTCTTCCATCCCCTTCTTCCTTCCTCCTCCTCACCCCCTCCCACCCTCCTGCTATTCAATACTACGAATGCATGTGCACATCCTACGAAATAACCAGACAGTTAGCCGGACACAGCCCAAAAGTTTAGACTACCCACTACGCATTACCAACTACTAGCCAAAGGGACACTTTACACACGACACAACGTTGATAGGGAAGCGTCCTCAGAGTCCAATCAAAGAATTCCAAGCTCTCACCCAACCACACAAGTAGACTACAGACAAATGATGGTGAGTTTGGTAAACTCCCAACCAGACGCCCCCGAGTCTCGGAGGTAGCCCCTAAACTCCCTTTAGGACCGAATGCATCAAAAGGGTACACAGTCACACCCAACCAGACTGAGGCTCGGCCATCCTCCATATTACTCGATTGCATTACGATGTGTATTGTATGCCATTTTGTTAATTTCCTGGTTTGATGATACCTGTATATTTTACTGTATGAAGAAATATGTAACACTCATTCCGTGGTTCAATGTACAAACGACCTGTTAAAACCTAATAAAAATTTAAATAAAAATAAAATAAAATAAATCACCTTAATGGAACGGGTCAAGAAAGGGAATTGGATATATGGAAGATAAACAAAAATAGTTATTAGGGTTTAGTAATGGTATGGGATAAGGATGGGCGAGGGGGAAATGGTGTTAGTGGTGAACGAAGATTAGTGAGATAGAAAGACTTGAAATTGTGTAGTGTGTACCTGAGAATAGAAAAGTAACGTGTGTGTTTGAATGTGTGTGAGACTTTATATGTGTGTATTAAACAATGTGCATTCTCTGACTAGTGAGTGTGAATGTATGTGTTCCCATCAGCTTGTACTGACCTGTAAATCTGTCCATATACTCAAACCTAGGAAAGAAAAACACTTACCTCTCTAACGCCACCACCTAACCATTTCCTGCACCTTGGCCAATCACAGGTAAAGTGTGCATGCACAGAGTGAACGTTTACCTGCAATGGCGCATGTTTTAGTGCGTTGCGGTTCAGTCACTGTTAGCTAAACTCTAAGACATGGACGATATCTGTACGGGAGAATGTTAGTGGTGATAGTCTGCAAAACATCTGTCTGGAGGTCTGAGACAAGTCAGTAAATTTGGGGCACAAAAGTCTATCAGATAAAAGTAATGACACCAGTTATGGCTGACATTTAACAACCACCTTGGGAGCGAACCCTCAGCTGGGAATGTTAATAAGGATGTTGGATGATAACATACCACATTTATATTGATATAAAAAACAGGAAACGTAGGGGAAAATGTTCCTATATATTGTTTTGATACTATGGTATGTCAGCTCTTTACTTTGAATAGCAGTAAAATCAGACAACTATCAGCAATAATAATCGGGGTGGCAATCTTGGTGCAGCCTGTCCCCCACATAGATAACCTGGCTGAGCTCTATCTCATGACAGCGGGCCACGCTCACTAAGCAGTGAACCAGGCTCTTACAGCGGGCTGCGCTCACTAAGCAGAGAACCAGGCTCTTACAGCGGGCCGCACTCACTAAGCAGTGAACCAGGCTCTTAAAGCGGGCCGAGCTCACTAAGCAGCGAACCAGGCTCTTACAACAGGCCGTGCTCACTAAGCAGTGAACCAGGCTCTTACAGCGGGCTGCGCTCACTATGCAGTGAACCAGGCTCTTACAGCGGGCCGTGCTCACTAAGCAGTGAACCAGGCTCTTACAGCACGCCGCGCTCACTAAGCAGCGAACCAGGCTTACAACAGGCCGCGCTCACTAAGCAGCGAACCAGGCTCTTACAGCGGGCCACGCTCACTAAGCAGTGAACCAGGCTCTTACAGCAGGCCGCGCTCACTAAGCAGTGATCCAGGCTTACAACAGGCCGTGCTCACTAAGCAGTGAACCAGGCTCTTACAACGGGCCGCACTCACTAAGCAAGCGAACCAGGCTATGACAGCGGGCCGCGTTCACTAAGCAGCGAACCAGGCTCTTACAGCGGGCCGCGCTCACTAAGCAGTGAACCAGGCTCTTACAGCACGCCGCGCTCACTAAGCAGCAAACCAGGCTTACAACAGGCCGTGCTCACTAAGCAGTGAACCAGACTCTTACAGCGGGCTGCGCTCACTAAGCAGTGAACCAGGCTCTAGCTAAGCTGAAAGCAGTCTCGCTATGCTGCTATCAGTTTACAGAGCAGCTCCATCCTACGTGATGTTCCACACATATCCGTAAATTCCTTCTGGACATGAGATTTATGGAATGAAATCAGACTCTAGAGACCAGAATGAGAAGAGTCTATACTGGAGACTAAACTGTGATCCGCAGGGACTTTGAAAGTAACTTTTTGTTTGACATTATTTTTCACACATATTTTCACTGTTAACATAAGTCGGGAACTAATCAGTGATGGTGCAATTAGAGGAAGATTTGGTATAATTAATTGTACAACAATCCATAAATTAAATTGAATTGATTAAGTGTAGTTATCCCCTGTTAACCCGGCCACAAACCATCCATTGTGTGATTTTTTTTTTTACCATCGATAAAGTTTATTGTGCTGACACAACTGATCCCAATCTCGTTACAGCATTCCTGTGAGAGAATGTCACCAATGCCAAACCTGTTACGAGTTTCCTCCTTCAGAACTCTCACAGCTATAGAACCTTTCTGGATACGACCACCAGACCTGAACGATAGACACAACAGCGACCATCGTCAAGAAATAAACTGGTCACATAATCTGCAGGAAACCATGACGTCTGCAGTCCCAGCCTCTTATCATGGAACCCATGAAATGTACGATTACATTCTACTGAATGATGTTACACTGCGACATTGGATACAGTCAGCCATAATGATCTCTGTGTTATTAAACTCCAAGACATGGGGCGGTTATATGTCAATGACTATGTAAGGCTTATCCATACTGTATCTTTACAGCATTATCTGTACTGTGTCTTTAAATCGTTATCTGTATTGTGTCTTTAAGGCATTATCTGTACTGTGTCTTTAAATCGTTATCCATACTGTGTCTTTAAGGCGTTATCCGTACTGTGTCCTTAAGGCATTATCCGTACTGTGTCTTTAAGGCATTATCTGAACTGTGTCTTTAAATCGTTATCCGTACTGTGTCTTTAAGGCGTTATCCATACTGTGTCTTTAAGGCGTTATCCGTACTGTGTCTTTATATCGTTATCCGTACTGTGTTTTTAAGGCGTTATCCGTACTGTGTCTGTAAGGCCTTATCCGTACTGTGTCTGTAAGGCGTTATCCGTACTGTGCCTGTAAGGCGTTATCCATACTGTGCCTATAAGGCGTTATCCGTACTGTGCCTGTAAGGCGTTATGCGTACTGTGTCTGTAAGGCGTTATCCGTACTGTGTCTTTAAGGCGTTATGCGTACTGTGTCTGTAAGGCTTATCCATACTGTATCTTTACAGCATTATCTGTACTGTGTCTTTAAATCGTTATCTGTATTGTGTCTTTAAGGCATTATCTGTACTGTGTCTTTAAATCGTTATCCATACTGTGTCTTTAAGGCGTTATCCGTACTGTGTCCTTAAGGCATTATCCGTACTGTGTCTTTAAGGCATTATCTGAACTGTGTCTTTAAATCGTTATCCGTACTGTGTCTTTAAGGCGTTATCCATACTGTGTCTTTAAGGCGTTATCCGTACTGTGTCTTTATATCGTTATCCGTACTGTGTTTTTAAGGCGTTATCCGTACTGTGTCTGTAAGGCCTTATCCGTACTGTGTCTGTAAGGCGTTATCCGTACTGTGCCTGTAAGGCGTTATCCATACTGTGCCTATAAGGCGTTATCCGTACTGTGCCTGTAAGGCGTTATGCGTACTGTGTCTGTAAGGCGTTATCCGTACTGTGTCTTTAAGGCGTTATGCGTACTGTGTCTGTAAGGCGTTATCCGTACTGTGTCTTTAAGGCGTTATCCGTACTGTGTCTGTAAGGCGTTATCCGTACTGTGTCTTTAAGGCGTTATCCGTACTGTGTCCCTAAGGATATGTGAATAGAATTATCTAGATGCAGTCATTTCTGGTATGTTTTTTATCTTCTATTTCTGTTACTTGACACGTGCGTCGTACAGGGTGGTTTCCGTACGGTATTTATCTGGTTAGTACATGGA